AAATTAATGATTTTTTTCTAACCGGTGACGCAAATCACTATCTTCCCATCGAATTTTGTTTAACAACATAGCCTGAAGTCCTAAAATTAATTTGTCTACAAACAATGACACAATAAATTTCATGAACAGGGCAAACAGAGATAGACGACACGTTCTCCTACGTGGATATTACAGAGGAATCCGACAGCATCTCAACCACCACAAAAGCCAGCAAACTGGAACTCACAACCAACAATCCCACCCTGAACAACCTTCTCCAGTGTCGTGCAACTTGGAGCGGAGAACACGGTAAACCTTAAGACGATTTACACGTGTATTTTGAAAGCTCCTGTTATTTGCTAAAACAAACTTTTCGTATTTTTTACATGTTTTAAAACAAATCCCCCTCAAGGTAAAACGATAGTGACCACGTGCGACGTGAACGCTATCGGAGCCTCCATGGAGAGGAGAGTGTACAGTGACGGTGTGGTTATTTGTTTAGTGTGGGGAGACACTGCACCTCACTCGGTCACGTGGTCAGATGAGGAGGGGGAGACTGTCTCTAATGTTACTGACCAGGTTTGATATGTGTGTTCTTGATGTTGGGATGAGGATGATATAGCATTTTATATTTTAATCATGTTTTATTTATTACTACATTTATGACATTTAACAGCCAATGGGCCTCGCCCTCACTTATTTAAAAATAACTTAATTTTTTGCTATAAATAGTCATGACAGGACTAACGCGATTTTAAATGGGCACAGCAGGACGTTTCGTTAATTCAGCCCGTTCAGACAATAATCAAGAAGAGTACAAATGGTGCGGTCCACACCCACACATTGACTATCAAGGACTTGGGTGTGGGTGAGGAGGAGACGTACACATGCTCGGTTGTGTTTGTTGAGAACGATCAGCCACTAAACCTTGTAACAACTCTTAATAAGCTATGTAAGTTAGTTACTGTAAATCATTTTCTACCCTTCATATCTTTTTTTACACTATATTAACGTAATTATTTACTTTCAGTACTGGACCAAAACCATTTTACAATTTATTCCCCAATATGTTCGTGATTTTAATTTTAGGATAGCTATTCTAACAAAAATGTTGGTATCATTTAACCAACGAAGAAAAACTATCAGATGTCATATTCTCGTTATGTGTGCGCTGGTTCCGCTTCTCGTGTGAGTAGAACGGTATGGAGGATCCAACTAAAGTGGAGTGGTATCAGGTAATAAGCACTTGAAAAGAGGGCTGCCGGACAGTTGCGCCCAGTCTAGATCAAGCTTAGCACCGTCTAGCACCATCTAGCTACCATGAGCCCGTGTTTGTCAATACCATTGACCATGTTACCATGGTTACTCACCAATCACCATGGTTACTCACCATGGTTACTCACTGTTTATAGATGTGGGTTATAGAGTAGGGTATATTAATTCGTTGTGGTACTTTTCATACTTTCTTACTTTACTTCCCTTCCTCGGGTATACATTACCTATAATAAAGTAATAATATTCATTGTGTAACATTAACCTCTGAGACAAGAAAGATAGATTAGATCATAGTATATATATATATATATTATATATTATAGGGAATAAATTATAGAACTACTAGTGTAACCAGGCCTTCGGCCGGGATTTCACTGCCGCAGTTAAAAAGGGTTGGAGTATTTACCCGCTGAGTCGAACCCCGCATTAGGTGAGCAATTCTATTTGGAGTGCCCTCACGTATCCAATAGTATTTTATTTAACATAATCTCATAATCAGTTCTTTCTCGTGGATAATTAAGTCATTATTAGGCACCACATTCCATGATCATAAGGTCCGTTCACCGACTATATTACACCTCATCACTCCCGTCTTGAACCGCTTTCCATTTTGATCTAAATCGTTTTAGAAATTAACCCTTGTTAACTCCGCACCACACCCGCCTATTATATTTGAAAACACGCATAACTTTGTCGTATGAAAGTATGAACTCTCTCTGCAGTCCAAACAGACCCCAATGAGTGCCCCCTCCCTAATAAGTAATAAGCTTATAGTATTACATGACAGCGAATTTTACCTGGCTTAACCTAATTATGATTCATGTACCAACGCTACTTATGCAGCTATATATGCAGTAATGGGAGAGAGAGTGAGGAGGGAGAAAAAGAGAGCCATTTAATGTGTTAATGTCACATTTGTGGTACAAAACCACTTACCACCGACCGATTTACAAATCCTTTATGATTTGGCTTCGTCAGAGTTTTTTTGAAACTATACCGCAAAAACCAGTCCCATAACTCTTACCGTTTTTTGATTAAGCTGCTCGGAAATTACACGTAGACAGACAGACAGACACACACACATTCTGAGATTATTGTTTAAGATAATTTTGGTGAGGATGGTTTCTAAATGATTTAAATTCTAATTAAATCATTTCCAGGATTATGACTATTGTGAATTCTAAGTAATTATTATTTTCGTATCCTTGTATCCTAAGCTGTATTAATCACTAATCTCCATCTCTTTGTTTTTCCCAGCCGCTAATCTGTAGCTCACTTTTAATCGACCCAGTTTAGACCTCATGTCATTTAGATCTTCTATGTTGAGACAAGTTTTCAGATAATGGTTTTATAATTACGGTACTGAGCAGTACTATTTATCACAACTACCTATTTATATATATATATATACAAAGGATAGGACAAAGAAGACACTATCTGCCACACTTATAGAGCCTGGCAAACTCTAATCAAAGGTAAGTCTGGCAGTGGTTCACACTCTGTTGATATCTCTTTAATGAGACTTGATTGAGGCCTCTCAACTTCCCTAGTTGAGTGTGTCCCACAACCAAGCTCATTGCCTAGAAGTCCTGCATTATTATAATGAACCTGGACATACGTGGCAAGTATAAGCTCTTGAAACCAAACCAAACCAAACCAAACCAAATCCTAAGCTATCTTCGAAATGCCTGCTTCCGATGTTCCAGTGAACTGAACCAGTTTAATTCATAAAAACATTTTTATATCTCATTTAACTGCCATTACTTCTGTAAGATCAGAGTTGTCCAGGAAATTTGTTACCCCAAAGCGACCTGATGGTACTGTATAAGTAGCTCACACTAAAATACATTTCAGGAATCATCAGACGGTTCAAGCAACCTACTGGAAGACTCTGATGACAAGTATACCATTAGAACCGGAGACTTTGAATCCAAGTCCAAGTCTAAAACTAGTGTCATAGCAGTGGATACCATGGAAGTGACTGATAGTGGAGACTACACCTGTAAATGGTCCACAGATAGTTTTAACCCTGAGGCAACAATGGCGGTCGCCATTCGATGTGAGAACGATAGAGTGATTGTTTGATGATGGTTACTCTTAAATTTAATTTTGGAACCTTTTCATACAGTGTTAACTTTGTATTCTGATCAAACATTCATAAACTTGGAGCCAATCACAAAATATACTAAAAAGACTTAATCTTACTCAGTGCTTTAAAACCGTTAATTTCAGCGTTAACAACACCATTAGAAACTGTTAACAGTGTGGACGGTACAATAGGGATCACCTGTAACCTTGAGGGTACAACATCAGGTACCATGGAGTGGTACCACGAAGGTGAGCTAATCTGGTGTAAAAATTTGGAAACTATTTCATTTAGAAATAATGAAACGACCAAATGCAGAACTAATCTATCAAATTATATCCACATAGACTCCATACTCAAAACAAGATGTGACATCCTCGGGCGAACCATTAAAACATCCCCAATAAATGTAATAGATTTGTACTGTTGTAATTAGTTCAAAATCTGTATTTCGTTGTTATTTCATCAGCCAACAGGAACGGGAATCAAAGTATTGATTCCCGTTTTTTAATTATTTACTTCGTTTTACAATTATCTACTTTGTTTACCCTAAGATTTATTTCTGCAATAACAATAACTGTAAGATCACGACTAGTTTCTGATCAGGTCAAGAGTTGGAGGACGAGGCGGAAGATGATATAACCATCAGCGAGAGCTCACTTGAGAACCACAAACAAGAATACAAACTAACCCTCACCAACGTCAACCCCGAACACCATGCTGGTGAATACAAATGTGTCCTTATTTTCTGTGACGGAGATAACCTTGAAGCCGAAATGGAGGTAATAGCCCGAAGAGCCAATCTGATCGACACTCAGGGTAGTGTGGAGAGTTACATAGTGGTATCTGGAGACCGACTGACAGCCAGATGTCGGTCCCAGGGGGACAAAGCTCCCTCGCAGATAAAGTGGAGTAAGGATGGTGCTGATATAGAAATGGATAACACTGTTAAGATGCACAACACCAACACTAAGATCCTGGATAAAAGTGTTAATTACTTCAGCAACCTCACTATCAAGAACTTTGCCTTTTCCGACGAGGGAACGTATAAATGCACTTTTATATTCACAGACGGATACAACACGGAGACAACAGTGAATGTTAAGTACGCCCGGGTCACTAACGAGGAATGTGTGTTTGTGGACTGCCTAACTGAAACCAGTAAAACCCTGACCTGTACTTACCATGGTACCGGAGCAGCAACTTCAGTTTCCTTCACCCTGCCAGACGGTTCTGAAGTTCCGGGAGAACTGTCAGACTTTACAGCAGGGTCAGATGGGTACTCTGTTGGGAGCCAGATAGGGAGTTACACAATAGCGAGTGTAACAGATGCTGAGAGTGGCTTGTATCGGTGTAGTTTCAATATCAACGGAGGAACTACTGTTTCTGCTGTGCAGAGGCTAACTGCTCGAAGTAAGTTCGTTAAATGAATGTGGTTTTGTTAACTTTGTAGAAGTTCGTTAAATGAATGTGGTTTTGTTAACTTTGTAGAAGGGAGCATTTGACCGGATATTATTTGTTATTTGTTCATTCATTGTGTAAATTTGTATGTAATTGATCGATTTGAAAGATTTCGATTAAAAAAATTCCTGTTTAAGTTCTCTAGAGGGTTTCTAGAACAATAGAATTGTTATTATTATCAGTCTACAGTATTGCTGGACAAATTATTTCAGAGGCTGTTATGGAGACATCGGAAGGAAAACTGGATCCTCATCTCATTGTCCAAGCATCTCTCACTCTTACTTGCACTGTTAAAGCTGGTGCAAGATCCCTGGAATGGTGAGAAGAGGCATTCATTTTTCAGCATTTTTTTTCAATGTTGTCGGACTTTTTTTATCTCTCTGGTCAAATTAAAATACGTAAGAGTAATATTTTTGATTTCAAACGCAGCAGTATTAGTAATGTTCCAGTGTGTACTTGATAATTGATATACCTTATCATCACAAGTGACCATGGCCTATGTAACCCAGGTCCAAGAACGATAAAGCAATGATAAAAGGTCAAGATTACGAGCCACTTAAAAGCAGTTCAATCTCTTCTGATATGGTCTCAAAGATAGAGCTTGATATTAAAGAGGACAGCGCTGGTTCCTACAAATGTGTTGTACGACAAGCTGACGATTTTTGCCCTGCCGGTTTTGAGTTCGAATCTGAACCAGCGGTACTGACAGTTATCACATCAGCTCCTTTGAGAATGAGCTCTCTCCAAAATGTTGTATATAGCGGGGAGAGTCATACTTTCGTCTGTGTATTTCCAAATCCGTTCGGAGATATAGGTTATGAGATAGTGTGGTCGTGCAAAGCGAAAACGGATGTTATTGCCATGGTCAGTTAGCTTTTTAGTGATATCATTGAGTATTCACATTTCACCATACAACCTTTGATTTGAAAAAGAGTCCCAATGCTAGAGTAAAGAATTACAATTTTGTATGTGTCTATCCAATAAGCAATTCTCTACGAAGATTAGCCCGTAGGTATAATCAATCTAGGCTATAATTCACTTTGCTCAGCGTATGATTGCTGACGGAGATGTCACAATCAGACTTGGGGAACGAGTGATTGATGGGCATATTGAGAGCGTTAATTTAACTAATTATAATTAATTAATTAACTATAACTAGTTAAAATGTCCCTTCCCCGATTGAGATATTAATGAATAATGACAACACTGCAAATCTGCTACATTTATATTGAGTATTTGACCAAAACCCATAATCATGGGTAGAGTGGACCGCTGCCAGTGTCTCTCTTTCCCAAACAAAAGGAAATGATATTAATTTGATTGACCGTTCTCAAATGCAAAATGATACCGAGAATGAAATCGGTCGCTCGCTTTTCCCATTCATTCACGGCTTACGAATTGTAATAAGTTTCGATTGATTAGGTACATCAATCAGATGCTGTAAAAATCTCTTTGGGTTGCGTTCGGGTCGATACCTAGTATTTCGGGGTAAGGGTGGTAGTTATTACTTATTGAATTAGCTGAAGTTTATTGAATCTTTATTGCTGAGTACAGCTGCCTTTGGGTAGTTCTTCTTAATCTATTACAATTGTAAATGAATGGGAAAAGCGAGCGACCGATTTCATTCTCGGTATCATTTTGCATTTGAGAACGGTCAATCAAATTAATATCATTTCCTTTTGTTTGGGAAAGAGAGACACTGGCAGCGGTCCACTCTACCCATGATTATGGGTTTTGGTCAAATATCATCTCTTTTTGATTATAATGTCAGGGTACTTTATAAAGTCGAAATATAAACTGATATCTTCATTAATAAGGAGGAAGTTTCAACAATTTCGAAATTTTTCCTTTAAAAACATTTCCTTGTGTTTAAGTAAGCATATCGGTCGATCACTGACTGAATATGCCACTTAATACTCATTCAAGTTGGCATTAAATTCATTTATAATGACATTAAACTGTCGTGGCAAAGCAGAATTTGTTGGAAATCACAAATGAGCAAAATTCTCACCTTTCGCACGTGCAAACTTTGAGCGGACGTTGCGTGCGCATCCAATATTGAATCGCCGTAAAATTTTGCATGTAATTGTTGTATATATAGCTTGATAAGCATGCAAAGTTTCAAAGTATTTCAAGAAGAACTGTTATCACAACGGCACTCTAAAGTTGACAGAAAATGACGAAAACAGCAATTTTCAGTGATTTTAACAATTTTCTATCAATTTGGGCGTGTCCCCACGTGTGCAACTTTTCGATTTTTAACTTTAAAACTAGCCTAATGCACAATTTATATCTATAGGAAGCAGAACTGAGCTCCACAACCCAAGGCATGGCCCAACACCAGAGAATACTAAATCGCAAAATTGACGTTTTTATAAAATAATTCTTCAAAAAAGCACAAATTTCAATGACGAATATCTTTATGAAGGAGCAAGCTAGAAAAACTTTCCGGTAGATTTTCAGAATGCTTGAACAATTATCTAAGGTAAAAATTTCCTCAGATTTTGAATAAAATTACTTTTTAATGGTGTAAAATCATTTTTAAAAGTTATTACTTTGTCAAAAATCAAGTTTTAAAAACGGTTAACTTGATGACGTCATCAAGGGGTGTTCATGACGTCAAATAATTTGTTTATACAATGTAAACTAAAGTGTAAACAATTATTTTCAAGACCTGTGGTCGGAAATGGCTGTATCTTTTATACTTTTGAATCTATGGACAATTAAATACAGGCTACAATTGACTGGCAAAGCATCCCTGAATATATATGTTAATGCACTAGAAACCCGCCGCTAGTCGAAAGCTTTGTTCGAGGAAATTTTAAACATCAGTTATGTTTTAATTTCTCTTCATCATATAGCCCCAAAACGATACTTTTTACCGCATCAAAAAATTTCAATCACAACCAAAGTTATAAATATATATAGGTATATTTGACCAAAACCCATAATCATGGGTAGAGTGTACCGGCTTACTCGATCACGGCTTACGAATTGTAATATAAAGCTTATTGATTGGAAAAAGCGAGCGACCGATTTCATTCTCGGTATCAATTTGCATTTTCGGACGGTTATTCAAATTAATATCATTTCCTTTTGTTTGGAAAAGAGAGACACTGGCAGCGGTACACTCTACCCATGATTATGGGTTTTGGTCAAATATCATCTCTTTTTGATTATAATGTCAAGATAATTTACAAAGCCGAAATGTAAACTCATAACTTCATTAATATTTATATTAATAATTAGGAGGTAATTTCATCAATTTCGAAATTTTACCTGACTGAATATGGCACTTTTTACTTATTCAAGTTGGCATTAAATTCATATATAATGCCATTTAAATATCGTAGGAAAGCAGATTTTATTCGAAATCACGAATGAGCAAAATTCTCACCTTTCGCACGTGCAAACTTTGAGCGGACGTTGCGTGCGGATACAATATTGAATCACCGTAAATTTTTGCATAGCAGTATTTTATATATAGTTTAATAAGCATGCAAAGTTTCAGAAGATTTCATATAGAACTTGGATCACAACGAGACTCCAAAGTTGATAACAAGAATTGCGCCCGTTGTTTCGTTTTGGCGGACGCTAGATTTCCATTTCACATTTACTATAAATTTAAGTATAACTATAAGCTCCAATCAGCTCACTTCAATCTTCATGATAATAATATTGATCAATTATGCATCAAATACGGGAAACACTTGAAATTCAGTTCAATTGCCGTAGAACTTAACTTGTATCTGTAATTCAAGAAATCATCAGCAAAGGTAAACTATACTCGTGTACACATCAATACACTACGCGTGCCACGTACAAATTGGGTGTATTACCTAATAGTAATATTATACATTACATGCATCATATACACAGTCGCGCCGCGCATTCATAGATCACAGTATAACTATAAGCTCCAATCAGCTCACTTCAATCTTCATGATAATAATATTGATCAATTATGCATCAAATACGGGAAACACTTGAAATTCAGTTCAATTGCCGTAGAACTTAACTTGTATCTGTAATTCAAGAAATTATCAGCAAAGGTAAACTATACTCGTGTACACATCAATACACTACGCGTGCCACGTACAAATTGGGTGTATTACCTAATAGTAATATTATACATTACATGCATCATATACACTGTCGCGCCGCGCATTCATAGATCACAGGCTATCTATACATCACATCTCCGCAAGCAATCCTCGCGCGCGCCCAACTTTTTCGTTGCATGGTAACGAACGAACACACGACATATTTAAACCCACCTATCTCGTTCTCCAAAATCCACGTTTTTCTGCAAAAACCTCCATTCGTAACCTTTCACTATTGCCTTTTTTCAAAAGGGTGAAAAGGAAAAAATGGTGAAAACAGCAATTTTCAGTAATTTTAGCAATTTTCTATCAAACTGGGCGTGTCCCCACGTGTGCAACTTTTTGATTTTCAACTTTAAAACTAGCCTATAACACAATTTAGACCTTTAAAAAGCAAAATTGAGCTCCAAAACCCAAGGGATGGCCCAACACCAGAGAATACTAATTCACAACTTTTGTGTTTTTATAAAATTATTCTTCAAAAAAGCACTTACTTCAATAGCGAATATCTTTATGAAAGAGCAAAGTAAGAAACTATTCCGGTAGATTTTCAGAATGCTTGAACAATTATCTAAGATGAAAATGTCCTCAAGTTTTGAATAAAATTACTCCTTAATGGTTTAAAATCGATTTGAAAAGTTGTTACTTTGTCAAAAATCAAGTTTTAAAAACACCTAATTTGATGACGTCATCAAGTGATGATGATGAAGATAAATTATTTTTTGATATAATGTAAACTAAAGTATAAACAATTATCTTTAAAACCTGTGGTTCGAAATGACTGTATCTTTTATACTTTTGAATCTACGGACACTTAAATGTAGGCTACAATTGACTTCAAAAGCGTCTATATATATATATATATATATATACTTCACGACAATCTGTTGTAAAACAGGGGTTCCAGAAAACCCACTTCCCGATACTCCTGAAACATGCAATTTTTTTACAGTCGATTTGGACAAGGTCTAGACGCCGTGCAAAGTTTCAGATCTCTAACTCAATTTTAACATGGTTTTTAAGGCACCTGAATATGGCGATTTTGGGTTTTTTACCTAATTTCGTATAACATGCTGGCGCGTATTTTGCGCAAATTTCTT